TGCTGGGAACCCCCACTCATAGGCACCAATTGTTCAGTCTTTGGGGTTTCCAGTGTCTCTCGGGTCTTCCATTGATATAGGCTGGCCCCAGCCACTTCTGAACCAGCCATTCAGACCACCCCAGAGAACACACTTCCTGTCTCCTGCGCTGCCCCGGGGCAGCATTTTAACCCTTGGGTGCCACTGGGTAGCAATACCACAGTGATAGGCACACAGGGGTCATAGCTATGTTACAGACAATTCCCCCTCCCATCACAGGAGGGCAGCCCTAGCCCAGCTGTATGGGACTGGTTCTGTTTGTGCTGCAGTAACCTCTCCTTAGAGAGCATGTTTCTTGTCAGTAGCGGATTTGCCATGGCACCACTGGCGCCATGGTGCCGGGCCCACACTCCAAGTGGGCCCCGGCCAGGGCCACTCTTCTCCGCCCCCTCTCTCTCCTGCGGGGGGCAGAAGCTTGGTGCTCCTGGCACTGAGGCTCCTGCTGCAGTAGGGCAGTCAAACTCCCCCCTCCCCTGCCTCCTCTCACAGCTTGCTCCGTTCCCGCCCTCCCCCTCCCTGCCACTGATCAGCTGTTTGCCGGCAGGAGGGCAGGCCACAACATGCTCACCTGGGGAGAGGAGGCAGAGTAGAGGCAGGGTGGGGTTTTGGGGAGGGGGGTGGAACGAGCGTACCTACTCTGTGACTGCAAAGCTGCACAGCCAGGCTGAAAAAAGAAGGTGCTGCTCAGCTCTGGGGACTTTGCAGCTGGACACCACCTTCTGGGTCCTAGTGCTGGTTGAGCTCCCTTCTGTGTGCTGGGAGCCATCCTTCATCTTGTACAACAGTGAGTGCCCATGTTGGGGCAGGAAGGGCAGGGGGACAGAGGCAGTGGGGAAGGGGCATGGGATGGGGAAGAGAAGGGGATAGGGCAGGGATCGGCAACCTTCGGCCCGCGGCCCACCAGGGTAAGCCCCCTGGTGGGCCGGGCCGGTTTGTTTACCTGATGCGTCCGCAGGTTCGGCCAATCGCGGCTCCCACTGGCTGTGGTTCACCGCTCCAGGCCAATGGGGGGCTGCAGGAAGCGGCACAGGACGAGGGATGTGCTGGCTGCGGCTTCTCGCAGCCCCCATTGGCCTGGAGCGGCAAACCACGGCCAGTGGGAGCCGCGATCGGCCGAACCTGCGGACGCGGCAAGTAAACAAACTGGCCCAGCCCGGCCCACCAGGGGGCTTATCCTGGTGGACCGCGTGCCGAAGGTTGCCGATCCCTGGGATATGGGAAACGGGGGCCCAGCATGCGGATCCCCTTGGCAGCAGCTGGGGCTCCCCTGTTAAGCAGGCCCATCAAACCCTCACCCTGACAAACCCCACCTCCCCTGCATCTGTACCACCCCGATGAGCCCCCCCCAGACACCCTCCCCACTGAGCCCCAACCACCTACACCTAGACCCCCACCCAAATGAACCCTATAGATAAATCTCTGTATTAAGCATCTTCACATAACTTTCATATGACTTTGTACTATGCCTCTCTATATAACCTTGTATTAAGCCTATCCATATATAACCACTAACTTTCATATGACTTTGTATTATGCCTCTTCATATAACCCTGTATTAAGCTATTTTCATACAACTTTGTATCAAGTCCTTTGACATAGGAACTTTGTATCAGATCCCTATGTAGAAAAACTTATAGAAAACTTTGTGTTAAGCCTTGGTATAATGTTATAGCCCCTAAGGATAGTTAAAGTAGAAGAAAAAGTGAAGTTTTTACTCACGAAAGAAGTGAGGTTTTTACTCACGAAAGCTTATGCCCAAATAAATCTGTTAGTCTTTAAGGTGCCACCAGACTCCTTGTTGTTTTTGTAGATACAGACTAACACGGCTACCTCCTGGTAGAAGAAAAATGTCTTTTTGCTAGGAGTAGAATAAGATCTCTCCCCCCCTCCTCCCTTAATCAATTGCCCTGTTGAATGAATGAGGTGTGAATGAGCAAGGCATGGAAGGCAAGCACCTCCTGACAGCTAGTTGGAGAGGGGATGGAAGCCAGACCCAAGGACAATAAAACTTGTCAAGTGAGCTCACTAAAGAAGAGCAGACATATTGACGGCCTCATCATATTAATACATATTGATGCATGTATTACCAATGAATGTGGCGTTTGCCTTATTCCCCCTGAAAAGATCCTGTGCAGTACTTTAAGTACAACAACCCCACTTCCCCTGCACCCAGACTCCCCCACCCCCACCCACTGAGCTCTAATCACTTTCACTTGGTCCCCCCTGCAGACTCCCATTGCCCCTGCACCTGGGACCTCCCTATGCATCCAGATCCCCCACTGAGCTGCCTGCACCCAGACTTCCTCACACAGAACCCTCTTACCCCCCACACAGAACCCTCTTACCCCCATCTGGATACCCCCACACTAAGTCCCTCTGCACTCGGATCCTGCTGCCGGGCTGAGCCTCCCTGCCCACATCTGGTGTGCCTGGCGCAAAAGGGGCAGGGCCCCAGGGTGTTTCTGTGGCAGGCCTGGCCCTTCTGCTGTGTCAGGGTCAGATTCAGTCTCACTGCCAAGTCCCTGTCCCGGGGGGGCGGGGGAGGCTGCAGGATATTCTCCCACCTCCATGCAGCCAGTGGCCTGTGCTCCCCACTGCCATGGTGGAGCTTCCACATTTATTATAAAAAAAAATTCAGAATTTGATGCAGAATTCCCTCAGGAATATGGGGCGCTGTACAGCTGTGATGCTGGGACTGTGAAGGGGGTGCTGGACCGTAGGGGATCTGTGGGTGGGGGAGCTGGGCAGGGGGTATGGTATGCAGCGTGCTGTGCAGTTGTGGTGGGAGGGCAGCGGGAGGGGTCTCTAGGCAGGGGGTGCTGGGCATAGGGATCTGTGGGGGAAGTCTCTGGATGAGGGGGTGCTGGCATAAGGGCAGGGCATGGGGCAGTGTGGAAGGGGCAAGCTGGCAGCACAGGGTTGGGTGGGCCAGGGTATGTCTAGCAGTTTTGGGTTTGTAAACAGTGCCCTTGTGCTGGGTTGAGTGGGGCCACTCCCACTGTGCCTCATTGCCCCCAACTAGCCCCTCGCTCTGCGGACCGCCCCCCATCACACGCCCTATTTCCCCAATGGGGGCCCACAAATATGTTTGGTGCCGGGCCCACAAAAAGTTAATCCGGCCCTGTTTCTTGTGCCTGGCCTGGCCTGCCCTTACCTGCTGAGTCCCTCTGCCATGTCTGGAGTCTCCCTGTCACCCAGGCCTGACCATGCCACCCTGCACAGCTACCTGCTGTGTGGCTGAAGCCTGTAGCACAGGCGAGGTGATGTGCAGCATGGTTGGGAAGCTGGGAGCAGCTGCAGCCCCCACCCACAAATTCCAGATTCCCAAAACTCCAACATTGGCCCCATCCCCAGTGTGTCCTCCAAAGCTGAGCCCTGAGCTTTCCTGCCACCCCCTTGCAGGATCCCCTGCACAGCCCTTGTCCAAGGGGACATGAGGCTTAGCAGTCAGGGGGAGATACCCCTGCTCCCTGAGTCCCTACCCATTAATTTAGTTGGAATGCAGGGGCCCAAAGTGTCAAAGGTGTTAACATGACCCTGAAACTGTTCAACATTAAACCGTGTTCAACAAGGTCCAGGGTTGGGTACACAGCAGCTCAGCCTGCTCAGTGCCAGGGCAAACACCCCACTACAAATCTTTTTAATCTACCAATGAGACAGAAAAGAAGGAAAAGCAGCTAATGTGTTAGAAATCTCGATACAAAGTGAGGCTTTTATTTCAACAACAGTCTTTGTTCCTTTAGCTGGAGCAAGTTTTTAGAAGGAAAAGCCCCTGGTCTGACAGTCTCTTAGATGCTAACTGTCCTTGTAGGGAAAGGAGAAAATGGACTCTTGTTAAAGGCAGATCCCACTGCCTAAGAAGACACACACAAGGGGAGGGAAACAAACAGCAAAGCAGGAAAATGCAGCTTCTGTCTCGGGTGCCGACTCGCGCTTGGAACCTCATGGCAGGAGAAACACAGGACCAGCACAGGGTGTGATCAGCCACTCTGAGACTTAGCAACTGCGTACCAGCATCAGGCTGCCTTGCTTTTAGCTGTCTCTGGTCACGGCTCACGGTGCTCTTACAAAGCACGCAGTCTTGGGCAGCTAAGCCTGATGGTCATTAAACAGAAGGCAAGAAGAGAGTACTAGGAAAGAAAGGTGGGTAAGGAAACAGACAGAATGGGGTGGGGTCGACAAAGTCTCCAGCTGTGTCTACACTTAGAAGGCTACAGTGGCATAGCTACAGCTGCGCATGCTGTTGTGCTTCGGTGTAGACACTCGCTCTAGCGACAGGAGGGGCTCTCCAGTCAGCACAAGTAATCCATCTCCCAAAGGCAGTAGCTACATCAATGGAAAAATCCGTCCATCCCCCAAACCGCGCCTGTGCCGGGGCTAGGGCGGCAGAGCTACAGCTCTTGGAGTGGGGTTTTCAGACCCTGGAGAGACACAGCTATGCCGATGTGAGCTTTTGGTGCAGGCCAGACCAGGTGGTGTCTGGGACTTAGCCAGAGGTGGTGTCCCTGGGTCCCTCTCTCCGGCTTGTCTGGTCAGGACAGGATGGTGAAGGCCCAGGGTCCCAGGGGAGGGTGGCACCAGGATGGTGACACTTGTTCCTTCCCTTTCCCCAGCCAGCATTTTGGATCCATCCATGCCCATTTTCCCCCTAGTCTCTTTCTGAGGCTCCCCAAAGGCGAGTGACAGGCCAAATAGCCCAGCCCCTCATTAGTTTGTCTACCAATAGGCCTAATTTCTGACACACCAATTTTGGATCGTGGATTTTCGGTCCCACACGTCTCTTGTTTACACAGTGTGACCTGAACACAGTCCCTGAGTTACACCACAAGGCCTTTTTATTTGGCTGATTCACTCTATCTCCTCCTTGCACCTTTTCCCAGCAACGTTCATTGGGCTCCGATAGTGCGACGTGCTAGGAACTTATATGCATGTTTTACAGTTGCACTCACAATTCCATCAAACAGAGGCCCGGTCCTAGGTGCCAGGGTAATATTGACAGTGCATCACACGACCAGCCCATCACGGGGCATCCTGGATGTGCAGCCGGTGGTGTCGGATGCGGGAGGAGCTGTCGCTGAAGCCCTTCCCGCAGTCAGGGCAGGTGTAGGGGCGCTCACCCGTGTGGGACCGCTGGTGGGTGGCCAGGTCTGTGCCCTGGCTGAAACTTTTCCCGCAGTCCCAGCAGGCGTAGGGCCGCTCCCCAGTGTGGACGCGCCGGTGCCGAACCAGCTGGGAGCTGACGCTGAAACCCTTGCCGCAGTCAGAGCAGGTGTAGGGCTTCTCGCCAGTGTGGGTGCGCTGGTGCTTGATGAGGTAGGAGCCATCGCTGAAGCAGCGCCCACAATCCTGGCAGGCGTAGGGGCGCTCCCCAGTATGTGTGCGCCGGTGCTGCTGCAGGTGTGAGCTGCGGCCAAAGATCTTCCCACAGTCGGTGCAGGCATAGGGGCGCTCGCCCGTGTGCACCCGCTGGTGCTGCACCAGGTCCGAGCTCTGGCTGAATGTCCGCCAGCAGTCCAGGCAGGCGAAGGGGCGCTCACCCGGCAAGCCAACCCCATGGCAGGGCCCCTCCTGTGTGTGGCAGCGCTGGTGCCGCGTCAAGTGGGAGCTGCGGCTGAAGCTGCACTGGCAGTCGGGGCACTGGTAGGGCCGCTCACCTGTGTGAGTGCGCTGGTGCCGGAGCAGGGCAGAGCTGACAGCAAAGCTCTTCCCGCAGGTGGCGCAGGCATAGGGACGCTCCCCCGTGTGCACCCGTTGGTGCTGCACCAGATACGAGCTCCGGCTGAACTGCTTCCCACATTCAGTGCAGGTGCTCTGGTTCTCGCCTACGGGCAGCGTCCTACCACCCATGCTGTGCTTGAGAGCTCCCACATGGTGTGCGGATTCACCCCGTCTCTCCTCCAGCTGGTTTCCCTGCTGACTCTCATGGGCTTCTCCCTGCCCAGGATTCTGGGGAATGTTCCTTTCAGCATATCCCGACAGCGCCCCCTGCGGTTCCACTTGCTCCGGACCTTCCTGCTGAGGGTTCTCCTCCTTGGTCTCACTCACCGTCCTATCACCTGCTGGGCCAGAGAGAGAATCCAGACAGGAGTCAGGCCCTGTGCCAGGGAGGAGGGAACCTCAGATGGGGAATGGGAAAGGGCTGAACAAAACCAAATAACTGGGGAGAGACCAAACCATCAGGAGCTGAATACCGCAATCCCCTCCCCAGAGCAGAGACAGGAGGGGAACAATTCTTCCTCCACATTCCACCCAAGCAATCAGAGGAAGGAGGCTGGTGGGAAGCGAGCTACTGCCAAGCGTCAGGGTGGGTGGGAAGCTGTTAGTGACATCTGCCATGAGGATAGGGCACCTGGTGGGAACCCCAGATGTTTTCCTTCACTTGCTGACAGTTTCTGAACCAGCTTAGCCGATTCCTCACCTGTGCGGGTGCTCCTTGGGATCTCCTGTTCCTCAGAGCCCTGGAGACTGGGGACCTGGGGATCCTCCCCTCCATCCATCAGTGAGATCACTTTGCATTGGGGAACCAGAAATCCTGCTCCGGGGAAGAAAACAAATGAGACCATAATTGACTAAATATTTCTCTAATAATTATTAGACAAAATAAACTCCTGAATTTAAACCCAGCCCTTTCTGTGCTGGCGGCAGGTGTCACCCTAGCAGAGATAGTAAAGACCAGATAGTTCCTTCACCCCACCCCTGTAAGTGCAGGGAACAGAAGACACAGTGTTACAGAAAACTGGACCCTGAAGGCAGTCGCTACTGGGAGAGATTGAGACAGGAGCTCGATGTTCAGAAAGGGAGGGAAATAACTATGTTTCTGTCATCTAATGATTATTCACCCCTATAGCAGCTTGAGCCAAAGATCTGAAAGCACTTTCAAAACATCCTTGGAAGTGTGACGTGATATAAACACGGTAGATCAGGGGCTGCTGTTCACGCTGTCTGACAACACCAGAGCAAGGGGATGGTAAATGCAATGGAAAGGTGGTAAATTCAGAACGAATCAAAGGAAACCCGGTCTCCACACAGGGCAGGTTTAGCTTGGGGGTGTTGCTGGGTGTGCCTGCACTGAATAAAATCCCTGTGGCTGGCCCATGTCAGCTGACTGGGGCTCACGCAGCTCAGGCTGCAGGGCTGTAGAACTGTGCAGTGTATATGTTCAGGTTGGGGCTGGAGCCTGGGCTGTAAGACCCTGTGAGGTGGGAGGGTCCCAGAGCCTGGGGCTCCAGCCCGAGCATTAATGTCTACACTGCATTTTGAGAGACCCACAGCCCATGAGTCCAAACCAGCTGAGCCGGGCCAGCCACGGGTGTTTTACCACAGTGTGGACATAGTCACTGAGGCCGGGATTCCAAAGCGCAGGCTCCTGAGAGGAGCTCCAAGCTGCTGGGCTGCAGGAGGCAGGCACAGGGATAGGGTCAGCACATGCATGTGCCCACTCCCACTGGGGGGGGAAGTAGTGCTGGACCATTGACAGCCATGCCCAGCAGGTGTGGAAAGCTACCATGCCCAGTGGCGAGTGATTTACACCCACTCACTCTGAGCACAAATGAGTGCCCAAGGGAACAGGGAACTGGGACAAAGAAGGATGAAGGAGAATAAACAGGAGGAAGGACAATGGTAGATTTGGGGGAGTTTACCCTCACAATGCAGAATCATCCATCCCTATGCCTCACTGTTCTAGCTCTCATTCTCTTGCCCCTTCAGACCCACACCCCTGCCCTGGGGTTTGTCCCCAGCACTCAGGCACCTTGTCCTTGGGGCAAAGGCACTGCCTTTTATTTGCCTATTTATCTCGCCATGAGCAGCAATATCGCAAAATAATGAGGATCTTCCTTTTGCAGAGGGCAGAAGTGACTCCTCCCCCCCCCCCCCCGCAAGTAAAGTGACGTCCCCCAGGCTGCACAACCAGTTAGTGACAGAACCGGAGATAGAAGCTGGGTGAGAGTCTCTGGCCTGTGTTAGACAAGAGCTCAGAGCAGATGATCTAATGGCCCCATCTGCCTTTAAACTCTATGACACACAGGAGTCCTGACTCCCAACCCCTCTGCTCTGACCTCTAGACCTCATTCTTCCCCCAGAAACAGAATCATACTCCCCCATCAGATAGGGTGACCAGATGTCCCGATTTGGCGGATGTGATTGCAGAGCCATTGGCCATTGTCTTTGAAAACTCATGGCGATCGGGGGAGGTCCCTGATGACTGGAAAAAGGCTAATGTAGTGCCCATCTTTAAAAAAGGGAAGAAGGAGGATCCAGGGAACTACAGGCCAGTCAGCCTCACCTCAGTCCCTGGAAAAATCATGGAGTAGGTCCTCAAGGAATCAATTCTGAAGCACTTAGAGGAGAGGAAAGTGATCAGGAACAGTCAGCATGGATTCACCAAGGGCAAGTCATGCCTGACTAACCTAATTGCCTTCTATGAGGAGATAACTGACTCTGTGGATGAGGAGAAAGCAGTGGATGTGTTATTCCTTGACTTTAGCAAAGCTTTTGATACCGTCTCCCACAGTACTCTTACCCCAAGTTAAAGAAGTATGGGATGGATGAATAGACTATAAGGTGGATAGAAAGCTGGCTAGATCGTCGGGCTCAACGGGTAGTGATCAACGGCTCCATGTCTAGCTGGCAGCCGGTTTCAAGTGGAGTGCCCCAGGGGTCGGTCCTGGGGCCGCTTTTGTTCAATATCTTCATTAATGACCTGGAGGATGGCGTGGACTGACTCTCAGCAAGTTTGCAGATGACACTAAACTGGGAGGAGTGGTAGATACGCTGGAGGGTAGGGATAGGATACAGAGGGACCTAGACAAATTAGAGGATTGGGCCAAAAGAAACCTGATGAGGTTCAACAAGGACAAGTGCAGAGTCCTGCACTTAGGACGGAAGAATCCCATGCACTGTTACAGACTAGGGACCGAATGGCTAGGCAGCAGTTCTGCAGAAAAGGACCTAGGGGTTACAGTGGATTAGAAGCTAGATATGAGTCAACAGTGTGCCCTTGTTGCCAAGAAGGCTAACGGCATTTTGGGCTGTATAAGTAGGGGCATTGCCAGCAGATCGAGGGACGTGATCATTCCCCTCTATTCGACATTGGTGAGGCCTCATCTGGAGTACTATGTCCAGTTTTGGGCCCCACACTACAAGAAGGATGTGGAAAAATTGGAAAGAGTCCAGCGGAGGGCAACAAAAATGATTAGGGGGCTGGAGCACGTGACTTATGAGGAGAGGCTGAGGGAACTGGGATTGTTTAGTCTGCAGAAGAGAAGAATGAGGGGGGATTTGATAGCTGCTTTCAACTACCTGAAAGGGGGTTCCCAAAGAGGATGGATCTAGACTAAAGATCCTCAGTGATGACAGAACAAGGAGTAATGGTCTCAAGTTGCAGTGCGGGAGGTTTAGGTTGGATATTAGGAAAAACTTTTTCACTAGGAGGGTGGTGAAGCACTGGAATGGGTTACCTAGGGAGGTGGTGGAATCTCCTTCCTTAGACGTTTTTAAGGTCAGGCTTGACAAAGCCCTGGCTGTGATGATTTAGTTGGGAATTGGTCCTGCTTTGAGCAGGGGGTTGGACTAGATGACTTCCTGAGGGCCCTTCCAACCCTGATATTCTATGATTCTATGATTTTATAGGGACAGTCCCGATTTTTGGGTCTTTTTCTTATATAGGCTCTTATTACTCCCCTCCCCCGTCCTGATTTTTCATATTTGCTGTCTGGTCACCCTACTACCAGAACCAGCAACAGAAACCAGGAGTCCTCTCTCCCACTCCTGCTCTGACCATGGCATCACTCCTCTCTCATGCCTCAGAACAGAACCCCAGAGGCTTGTACCTAGGTGGGTGGTTTGGGTTTTTTGACACAAGTTCACCATTTTAGCATGGGTGCACAAATGCCATCTGCCCATGCAAAATAACTGTGTGCAAAATGGGGGGGGCACACACTAAAAGGGCACAGTTTGCACCGTTAATGGCTGCTCAGACATTTGCAGGGCCTGCGCAGGATTAAAGCCATCACATATCAAAACTACCAAGAAGCAGTGACTTCATGTTCAACAAACAACACAAGCTCCCTCATCCCCAAACGAACCTCACCCCCTTTCCAAAACCTCTCTTCTCAGACAAAGGCCTGTGCTGCTGGATAGGCCCTGGCTACCCTACCCAGCACAAACTGCCCTTCTGCAATTCTGACTTCTGTGTCTGACTCTTCTGTCTTCATTACATAAAATTAACAGGAAAACAAACAAGCAGATTGTCCAATAAAACTGCAGGCACTGAAATTAGCTCCAGTTTGTTAATTAAATAACATGTTGCATTTCTTTGGTGCCTTCCAAGCAAGGACCTTAATGCATTGAGTAATGTGAACAATTAGTAATTATTATTAACTGACAGACTGAGCTTTGCTGTACACATATTAAAGAGCTAATGTATGGCTCATTAATAAACTCCCCAGTCATGCATCTGAATAGCAGAGCTCGTTTTAAACAACAATCGGATTATTCCCCAAACCCACCTTATTTTAGATTAACTAGAGCCCAAGGGGCTGCTTCCAGGCAGTCGAATGACAAAGAGAAACACACACACAAATGGACACACACATACAGAGGCGTTGGTGTTATAAACTTCCGGAGCTAGCTCGGCTCCTGCAGGCGCTCAGGGGGGCAGAGCCTGGGGGGGTCAGGGAGGGCAGCAGCTCTGGGACTCGCAGACCCCCGCCCCCCCCGGGAGCAGAGCTGGGGCGAGGAGGCGCCGACGGTGCAGAGTCACGTTCCTGCCCGGCCCCAGCCCTTTCCCCCGGGTCTCGCCCCTCACCTGCAGACTCCGGCTCAGGGGCTGGTGTCGGCAGAGCCCGGGGCTGCCCCAGGGGCTGATTCCGGTCCCCGGAGAAAGTTCCCCCGGCTGGGCACAGAGGGGCGCTAGGGAAGGGCTCTCCCCGCACACACACCCTGCTGGGGAGCAGCAGCGGCTCGGCTCGGCTCGGCTCGGCCCGGGCTCCCGGCGCACAATGGAGGCGGTGCAGCAACAGGCTCTGAGCCGGGAAGCTAAGCAGGGAACAAGAAAGAGACAAAGGATCACCTGGAGCCCTCTAGCGCTCAGCACATGGCAGGGCCAGGCCAGCACGGCGTAGAGCAGCGTGAGCCCCCACTGAGGGACGCTGCATATGCGGAGGCATCAACAGGGAGCAAGACTGGGACACTACATTGCTTGGGACCGGGAGCCTTTCCCCTCTAGGGGACACCAGCTCCGATCCAGCCCCAGGGTGGGGGGGCTGGCTGGCTCAGGGGATGGGGTTCCAGTTTAGTAATAACAATGGTAGGGTGACCAGACAGCAAGTGTGAAAAATTGGCACAGGGTGTGGGCGAGGGGTAATAGGCACCTATATAAGACAAAGCCCCAAATATCAGGACTGTCCCCTATAAAATAGGGACATCTGGTCACCCTAAACCAGCGGACCTAGTTTCCCATGATAAAAAACAACAACAAAATGATCGGATTTAAAAATCCGTTTTTCTGCTAATAAAATGAAACACTGAACTTCAGTTTCCCTAGCCACAATATATATAGGTATCGGTTGAGCACAATGTTTTATTGATATATTTACAGTTTTTAAGCAAGGTTCGAAGCCTACCAGTGCCATCAATCATTATAATAAAATACAATTAATAGCATTGTGATTTGTAATCTGCAGCCTTGCTGCATCCTGTACAGAACAGCACATTGTCCCTAAATATGTATCAGAGTTAGAAGGGACCTCAGGAGGTCATCTAGTCCAACCCCCTGCTCAAAGCAGGACCAAGCCCCAGACAGATTTTTGGCCCAGATCCTATATGGCCCCCTCAAGGATTGAACTCACAACCCTGGGTTTAACAGGCCAGTACTCAAACCACTGAGCTAACATGAAATTTGCCCTTGCTAAATTCAGTGACACAGGCTTTAGGGGGGATTGTTAAAGTTTTCGGCATCTTTTCACAACTGTAATTGCTCAGATCTGGAGGCTGAAGTGAAATTTGAGATGCATTAAACACAAACCCCCATACGCCACTGAGTAACCTCTATATGCCAGAAGCAGTTTATTGGATATGATATGTACACCCTGCAGCTAGGCGTGAGTCTTCCAGCCCACGTGGACGCAGTTGTACTAGCTGGGATTGAGCTAAAAATCACAGTGTGGCCATGACGGCTCTGGTGCAGGTTTCGGCCTTAGCTATCCGAGCTCAGACTGACGGGGCCAGGTGGGCTTGAGAGGCCAGGCTGCCACATTGTCCACACTGTTATTTTTAGTGCGCTAGCTCCAGGCCTGCTGGCCTGCGTTGTTCTAGCCGGGCTGAGATGCTCACTCTCAACCGCAGTGTAGATATAATCCAAGGCACCTATCTCTCCCCACTCAGTGCACAGGCGCTGAGGAACTTATCGTAGGCTTTGTGTATCACAGTGATTTTTCCCCACTCAGGCACCTGTAATTCACAACACCGACTTCTTTTGTGCATTCATGCCAAAGAGATGTACTGTGTCTGCTGGGAGGATTTCAAAGATCTGGTGGTTATGGACTGTGGACACATCAGCCAGTGCTGGGGGGAGTCAGAGCCAAACTGCTCCTGCCCCCAGTGCAGAGAGACCACCCAGCAGAGAGACCTGCAGCCCAACAGGGAGCTGGGGAACACAGTCAAGTTAGTGAAAGGACTGGGGCTGCAGGCAGTGAATGAGGCTGATGGGGAGAGAATGTGTGAGACACCAGGAGGCTCTGAAACTGTTCTGCAAGGAGTATCAGCCCCCCACCTACCTGGCGTGCAGGGAGTCCATGCTCACCACACACACTGTGCTCCCCATGGAGGAGGCCGCCCAGAATTACCAGGTAAGGAATCGCTATCAGCGTGTGGGACTACACTGTCAGGGGTGCACTGCACTCACACTCCTGGGTGCGTCCGACACCGCCTGGAGCAGAATCACACCTTGCCTGAGTGTGGGGCTCAGCTGCAGCTCAGGGGGATGGTTCTGGGGCAGACTTTGCTCAGATTCACAGTTCTGGCCCAGGTGATCCCCACATGCAGGGCACTGTGCCTCTCACTGTGCAAAGGGCTCAGACAGGGTCTGCCTCTAGCCAGGCTGGATTTTGGTGTCTGCTAAAAACGCTCAGCCCAGCTCAGCCCCAACATCCCTTACCTTCCCCAGGAGAAAACCCATCAGAGTCTGCAGCACCTGTGGGAGGAGAGGGGGGCTCCTGCAGGAGAGCTCCCCACAGTCTGAGTGTTGGGACAGAAGCTGTTAGCTGTTCCCTTATCAATGGCTGCTGTTAAACACCCCAAGCTCCATGGTGAATCCTCTTGTGTTTTCCTTTCTTCCCCAGCAGGGATGATTGTGGAGAAAGATGAGTATTTGGAGCCAGGAATTGTACGGAGGAGAAGGTTGGGGGGAGTCTTTGACATGAGGTGAAATAGTGCCCCCAATGGGTATAAAGTGACCCTAGGGGAAGGATACGCAGGGGAGTTATTACAGCCAACCATGAGACTGGCAGGGTTGGTTCTCTGTCCCCACTGTTTTTGTCAGGAGTGTTTGCAAACAGCTCCGCCAGATGCTCTTAGCAGCCTGAGGGAATGCCTATACTATAAATTGGCTAGAGATTGGCTTGAATCCTAGGAAGCCTCATCTCCTCCTAGGTTTCACGAACATAGACTGTAACCCCACGCAGTCACCTTTAATGGCAGTTCACCGCGCCTCTGACAAGCTCACGGTCTTGTCGTCATTACACTTTTGTACCTGATAGTACCTGTCCTGATTTGTAAGTGACCTGATTTACAAAAGCTGGTGTTGACACTGGGTCCCCCAAGCACTTGATACGAGCTACAGACGTGTATTTTACCCTGCACTAATCCCCCAGGGGCACTATTCCAAAACAGAGTACCGGTAACTCTTCTGGAATGAAATAATCACACCCACATCGAAAGCTACTGCAGAATAGCTATGCCAATGATGCTTGCTCCACACAGACAACCATAAGAACTCCAACAGGAACCTCTCCCTTCATTGCCCTTGGGCCATGCTGCCCAGACTGGCAGTACCAGGTTTACAATGGCACCAGTGGTTCCATGGAGCCGGGCCCATGCTCAGAAGGGGCCCCTGCCTGCTCTACTTGCACTGCTCCCTGAGATCCTGCCAGCTCGCTGGCTCCCCCCACCTCGCCTACCACTTGCTCCTCTCGGTCTGCCTGTCTGCCAGCCAGCCAGCCAGCCAGCCAAGAGCTCCTCTCTGCCCCTTGCCTCACCCGCTGGCTTCTCTTTGCCTCCTGGCCAGACCCCAGTGCACCTCTGACTCCAGGCAGTCTCTGCTTCTCACCACCCATGGGGCCCCACCTGTCTCCCCAGAGCTGACCTGCCTGGGACTGGTGCATAAGCCTGGCCAGTCTCAGCCAGTTGCAGTGGGGACAGTGTGAGGAGCTTGGCTGGTTGATTGTGTCACTCCTGAGGGGCCAGAGCAATTCCCCAAGCCGGGACCAGCCCTGGCTGCACTGCCAGCTCTGCTCAGCAGATACAGTTGCCTTTCAGCAGGGCCAGTGAGTGTGGCCGGGAGGCAGGGCATGGGGGAGTGGGTCTCTTGCGAGGGTGCTGGGCTGTGAAGGGGCAGGGAGGATCTGTGTGTGTTGGGGTACTAGGGAGTGGGGGTTCTGTGGGGGGTGCTGTGCATTTGTGTCAGGGTCTGGGGAGGGTTGCTGGGCATAGCAGGTCCAGGCGGGCTCTGGCCATAGGGAATTGAAGGGGTGTTCCAGTGTTGTGTGTGTGTGTGTCGTTGCCGTAACAAGGGCAAGGCAAGTGAGGCACTTGTCTCGGGCACGCAAAGTGGAGGGGTGCAGCTCTACTGCCCAAGCGGGGCAGAGGAAAAAAAAAAAAGCCGCTCTTCGGCGGCAATTTGGCGGCGGGTCCCTCAGTCACTCTCAGAGGGAAGGACCTCCCGCCGAATTGCCACCGCCGCTTCATTCATTCTTCGGCAGCAATTCGGCGGCGGGCCCTTCCCTCCAAGAGGGACTGCAGGACTCGCCGCCGAATTGCCACCGAAGAGCCTGGAGCCGGCCCTTGCCTTGGGCGCAAAAATTCCTTGTTACGGCTCTGGGGTGTGTGTGTGTGTGTGTGTGGGCTGTGTGGTGCAGCATGGGCCCACCCCCTAGGGGAAGGGGCACGCTGGCAGCACAGGGCCAGGCAGGCCATTGTGCGTCTGGCAACTGCTGTTTTGTAAATAGTGCCCTCACACTGGGCTGGGCAGAGCATGGCCGCCCCTGCCATGCCATGCCCCTGGATGGCCCCTCGCTCCAGGGACCGACCCCCACCCCACCCGCACCATGCTCCATTGCCCCCCATGGGGGCCAACAAATATGTTTGGCACCAGTCCCACAAAAGGTTAATACAGTCCTGGGGACTGGGCCCATTGCCTTCCAGAGCAGGGTGGTCTATTTCCCCCCACTGGAAACCCCCTTATGTTCTCACACTAACACCCACCCACGCTTCAAGCGGTGGCACTCACACTGCAAATGTACCACAGTTCATGAATGTGGCACCCAGGGCAGCTGTAGATGGTGGCACAGGGATACTTGGGAGTTAATGGTTAAATGGATGTAGCAACCCATTGCATACCGCTGGCATTTCCCTGCACAGCCTCTGACCTGGCCTGCAGCAAGGCCCATGGCACTGGGGCAGGGTCAGCACTGCTCAGGGCCCCTTGCTCAGGAACAGCCTGAATCAGGGATCAATCTCCTTCTTCGTGCTGCAGTGACATGGGCTGGTCCCTCACTCACCCCAAGTGCTTCCCATGCCAAGATGCAGGGCAGGGCCCATGGCTCCCAGTGCTGGCGCTTGCTGCATGGGGATTTTCAGCAGGAATCTCACTTGCTCTCACTCTGGTTTGGTTTCTGGACTCAGAAGAGCCCAAGAACATGCAGATAATGGGGGCAAGCCCACTATCACTGATGCCTGTTGGCAATGGATTGGGCCCTTGGTGACTCCACACC